TGCATGACAAACAATCAGCTTCTCTCTTCAGTTTCTTCAGTTAAGATTTGAAAATTAAAGATAGAGGCTGATTGGTAACCATGCACTTCTGCTCCACATTTTCTCTGCTCTAGTTGTGGTAAATTCCCTTCAATGGGTTGCTTGCTCAGCACAGTGGCCTTTCATAGAATGCTTAGTATTTTTATCAATGAACACAAGGCATTCTCGTGTTCTCAAGGACCTGTCCCTTGTCTAATCAGAGAACGCAAGTTGTGCAACATATAATAGAAAAGATTGCATATATTTTATTTGCATAGAATAAGTGTGTTAGTGTGCCAAGCAGTAGGTGGCAGTGGACTCCTTTATAAAATTTGGTCAGTGTGACATAATAGATAATGTGTCACAATTTGCGAGTCTCGCAAATATTTTCCCTGTCGCAATTTCTAACACTGGTTTAACAGAGTTGCTATTAAATATACAGAATTTAAATTTATGGTTACTTTTAATTGCCTTATACCAGACCATTTGTAAATATGTACAACAAATTTTAATCCGCTCAAATGAAGCTGTGCACTTGGTCAATGTGAAAACACTTCCATTGACAATTTCCAGGAGGACGTCTCAGGGCGAGGTCAGCTGGGTGTCTGCATGTTTTCTCTTTGCGAGCAGTATCAGCAGAGGACAGGAAAATAATGGCAATTGCTCTTCCCAATACAATTTAACCATTTTGTAAGTTAATTACTCTCCCCCATGCTGATGTCACAAAGGCAGAGCAATCCCCATTCATTCCTAAGCTGGTCTGAAGCATCTCAGCATGAAGAGATGTACAGTTCTTTTCTAGTAAGAAAAATGCTGTGTTTGAAATCATCATTGTTATCACCCTAAATCAGAGGCAATTAAATTAGACAGTGACATCTGAAAGTCAATTAGTAAATGCAGAGTTGAGTTGCGGGGTAGAGGGTATATAAATCAAATTCAATTGTTAAAATATAATTTGTGTTCCCCCTAGGAACACATAATATATATTGTTTGCGCTTAATGCTTTATTCAATTAGAGGCTATTACATATTGTGTTTTGGGGGACAGCGTTCCCCTTACTTTGTTCTGTAATGCTGAGTGACAGCAGAAGGAGAACTGTACCTTTTAGTACAGTTTTCCTTTAGTTAATCCAACACTCCCCTAAGTGCAGCCTGCCTGGGAAAATATATACCTTCCTTCCCGTTTCAATGATCTTTACTGTTCAGCCATGGCCTATGTTCATCCAAACTTCTTGATCTTTTATTAACATGATAGTGGTTGAGACAAACTCTTACTTTTTTACTTTTCCAGTGCTCCCCCCCACCACTCTTCCTTCTGTGGCAGCCACTGCAAAATACCCAGTGCTTACGGGTATGCAGGACCATATGACCTCCTCCCATGACACAGTGCTGGGACCTAGACCCCAAGCATCGTCACATGATGGAGGGGACCAGCAGACACCAAGTATTTTGGAAGTGAATGCGAAAGAGGAAGGGGCAGCAGGGGCATGCTGTAGAGCTGAGTTTAACATGGTTGGAAGATTTTATATATATATA